TATTGGGGGGTAAAATCTGGGTAAATCAAAATTGATCAACAGGGAAATCAATAAATCCCGAATTTACAGCTATTTACTAATTTATTCAAAATTTTCAGTATGCATATTCATTCCACATTAAAATAAAAAATAAAAAATAAAAAAAAATAAAAAAACATTATTTACATCCTTCTTCAATATTATACTGTTGAGGATTATAGTATGTTTTTGCTATACCAGTTTTTTTGTGTGGTCATTCTCTCTATTCATTTGATTTTCTCTCTCTTAATTCTCTATGCTTGTTCTCTCTCTCTCTTCACTATCTCTGTCCTCATATTTTCTTTATGCATTCGCTCTCTTGTACCTTGTATCTCGTCATTCTCTCTCTTCGCTATATTTTTGTACACCCTTTCTCTAACTTTCCCTTTGCTTATTCTCAGTCATGTTTTCTCACCTCATTCTCTCTCTACATTCTCTCTTTTTCGATGTTCTAGCTCTACATTTTCTACTCATTCTCTATCAATGTCCCCTACTCTTTTTTGGTGTCTATAAGTGATTAAATTATAAAGCATCATATCATAGACATATAACCTTTGTTATAATACCCACGTCCCCGCACTTAAAATTATATTATTAATTTTAAGTCTAAACCCTCACATTTTTGTTCTAAGGTTTTAACCTGAAAGGCCTCGTCATTAATTCGGAGATAATGCACCTTCATTTATGAGCTCTCTCTTAATTAGCCTTTCTTTTCTTAGACAATCATGCCATTTTCTAGGCTCATGCAAATTTAGCTTTAGGGGATTGTGATTATTAAAATGACATACTTTCGGCTAAGTTATAGCTCTAATATTATTTGTAATTCGCTTGTATTAAGTATGATATTATCCATTTTGGGTTTAATCTTGCATGATTTTCTTTACGAAAATAGTATAAAATATGCCAATATGAAAAGCTTAAGAAAGTATATAGGTCAATTTTTAGTTATAGAAATTAATAGGCCATAACTTGTCAAGTTATGGTTCATAACCAGACAAATTATGGACAAACTTGTCAAGTTATGGTTCATAACCAGACAAGTTATTAACAAAAACCGTGAATTATGGACAATAACTTGTCAAGTTATGGTTCATAATTAGACAAGTTATGGACAAAAATAGTAATTTAGCATATTTATTAACTTATGTAAACTATTAACCTATTAATTTTAATTCATCTCAAGTCTTGACATATTTCTCCCTTTCTCCCTTTTCTTTACCTGTTTTGGCCCCAAATAGCACTACGGGTTTTACCATTGCGAGATAACGTTATTGATTATCAATCTTCACATATAATTACCTTCATTAGATATTGTAGATCCTGCATATAACTTACTTTTCTTTTTCTTTTTTCTTTTCATCTTTCTCCGTCTCACTACTTCCCTTTTTTTCCCCCCCCCTAATAGAACATCTTACTAACGGCTTCGACCAAGGCATTGGAATTGTCACAATAGCATCTTCAACTATATTTTTCTTCGCAACTAATACAAGGTGTACATGTGCCCACTCATACCTTTCAACTTTGACACCCATCCAAACAACAATAGCCATTGAATTAACTTCCCCAAAATCAATATGAGCATTTTACACGGGCCATATATGTGCAAAATAACTTGAGAGTTTCTAATAACATAATAACAAACATCCGAGCTCTTGTACATGATGACAAATTGGCGTGCATAATTGGTGTGTACATTGTATCAAATAAATGAGTGCTTAGTGTAATCCAAAGTGCCATACAGCCAATATGACCATGCGTCACAGATCAAAGGAGCCCCAATGGTCAATGCCCATGTGTGTGATGCAAATTGTGTTAGTTGGTGGTTGGACTCCAAATTCATGTCACTTTTTTTTTTTTTTCTGTTTCATTAATGACATGTATAACTAGTGGGTGCGCTTTCTCAGATCAAAAACCAAATTTCGTTTTTCTCCACCCTTTTTTTTTTTTTTTTTGTGTGGTTAAGATTAGTGAATTTGAGTTACCTTTAGGACTAACTCTCAAGTGGATAATAGTGTTATTTGCACTCAAAAGAGAGTCTCTCCAAGTCAAATAAGGACTTTGCCCTTAGAAGCTAGCTAGGAACCACAAAACATGGTGCATGTGCCGTGCACATGCTTTTGGAAAATAAAATACGTAATCCAAAACCTGATCAGTTCATGAGTTTGGAATGATAACAGTTGGTCCGACTTGGAACGCTGGTGTTAACAATTAGGTAATGTCCCAATATAGTTGGATGAGATTGAAAGAAGATAAGCTATGAAGCGCTAATGGGCAGCATAGACGTCCCATGCTACACTTTTTTGCTATAATAATTAAATCACAAATCAAGAAGCTGGTTTGTGGAGATAGATTGTCCAGCCTCCACTTACAAACTTTTTTTGTCACTAATTAATAAAATTACGCATTAGCCTTGGAGCATGCATAATTTCCTAGCCATAATTTATACAACAAGAGGTTTATGTTTTGGAGAGTACTAGAAGTAGATGTAGAAAGGAGAAGTAAATGACCACAAAATCAAACAACATGAAATAAAATGGGGTAGGATGAATGTTATAAGGCGCATATTTAATCTCGTATTATATAGAAAATAGAAAAAAGAGGAAAAAAAAATACAGGATTAAAATATGCTAAAAAAAGGATTATATGTATTTTTGTAATAATTTAAAAACTTAAAGCCCTTTAACTTTGACCTCACTACTCAATATGTCCGAATATATATTAGCCCTCATCCATGGCTACCGTCAGCTAGGAAAATCCTAGGCTGAAGTTAACTCTTAACATCACACAACGTGTTAATTAACTCGTCACTAATTATTGAGAGAGATAAATATTGCCAAATCGCCTTAATTTATATTAATAGATGGTGCATTTTATTGATATTCAAAAGAAAATAAATCCTCATTAAATTAGTCATTCATTAATAGTTATTTCCAATTTTTTATAGGTTTCTCCTAGTTGAGAGATCAAGGTTCGCACTCTTTTACAAAACAAATTTGTTGGCTTAAACATTAAAATGCTCTCGGCCGGTACCATGGCAGCACCCTTTGCTTTGTTACATGTTTGTTTATTGGTGTACTTTGTGTTCATCAAGTGTTACTCTCACATTTTTAATTCAAGTGTTAATTTGATTCGAATTATTAGTTTGAGAGTATGCTTTTGTTGTTGGACAAAATTTTGCTCCATGTGAGAATTCAAGCTTATATATCAGAAACCAATCCCAAGCTAAATGTATGCTTGACTTTAGTTTATGTATAGCATATAATTAAGATAAATAAGCGTCACTTGAAGGATAAAAAGAACTCCAATTTCTTCCCAAATTATATTATATATGTATGTATATAGAGAGAGAGAGAGAGATGGGGGGACAACAAATATGGCTTCTGATCAGGACTATAATTGGATGCTGATCAAAAAAGATATTTGACATTTTTTGAGTGACTAAAGGTAAAACTTAAATTCAGATTAATATTGAAATAGGGTTGCCTAACTAGCCTATAAAAAATTTAAACCTTCAAGAAAGAGAATATCCTTTTTCTTTACGTTTATCTAATTCTAAATCTGAAGCATAACCACAAACAAGCTACAAAAGCTCTATAACATCAGGAGAAAAATAGAAAGGAAATTACAGCTCAAGTTCTCTTTTTTCCCAAAAGAAACTAAAACGATACTAATCATGATCACACTTCAAGCACACACAAAAAAAAAAAAAAATCATGATCACACAATTTGTGGGGTGTGATTTTATTTAATTGTATAATTAATTAATTGGGTATGAGTTTTCTATGTGGGACTCGCACCTTTCTATATTCATCCCAAAAATATATATTGATGCAATAAAAGAGAACGTTCCAATTGTAATCCACTAACAAACGACACATTTTTAGATATGGTTATTACTTAGCCATCATCTTCCGCCACAAAAAAATGATGGATTGCCTCGTAAATAGAAAGAAGTATAAAACCAACTTTCTTACACAACCAAGTCCACTAAAACTTCAGTGATTAATGCAGAAACTTAACGCTGTGGGACGGCTCATGGAAATTTAGATATAAACAAAGTCAAGCCATTCATTACGTCAAAGAAGGCAAAAAAAGTGTATTGGTTGGTTTTGGAAATCAGAAAACGAGTTTATAGTGAAGCAGCAGTTGTTCCCCACTCCCAAAATAAATAAATAAATAAAAGAAAATTAGAAAAGTTTAGGTTGATTATTCCTTGCTCAACAGCTAGTACGCCTTTTCAACATCGCGGACCCAAGTTTTTTCCACTACTTTTCCAATTTTTCTTGTTTTGGATTAGATTATCCATAAAGTTTTCTTTCCCTTCTTTTTTTTTTCCCCCTAAAATTGGCCCTTGAAAATTAATGTCTCCTTTCATTCTTAATTTATTTAAGTTCATTCCTTACGATATATGATTAAAAGGTCAATAATAAACAGATAACTACTATAAAAGAGTAGTTTTGCAATTTTTCTCTCCTTTCTTTTGTTACCACATATATAAATAATTATAACATTTTCTTTCTTTCTTCTACTCTAAAGAAAATCTTTCATGAGAAAGGAAAAAAAAAAAAAAAAAAAAAAAAAAAAAAAAAAAAAACACCAAAAAGTGAAAAGAGTGGAAAAATTAGTAGGAATTGAATTTCCTCATCTCCCATGGCTATTGATAGTAAGAGAAAAAGAAGTTGCACAAACCATGTACAAACTCTATACATTCAAGAGCCTTTCTCAAACTCATCCACGTCTCTCTCTACATGTAAAGTAAGACCATTCACCGCTCAACAAGGCAGCTAAAACAAGTTAAAAAGAAAGAGAGTCAACTCAACAACTCCACTCACCCTCTTGATTGAAAGGAAAAAAAAAAAAAAAAAAAAAAAAGGTCAAAACATATTTTAGGCAGCACAAAAGGTCCCAAACCTAAATATCCCAAAAAAAAAGTTTTTTTTTTTCTTTAGTTACAATCCCTTTCATATGGTTTTTTTTCCCCCATTTCCTCAGAGTGAATTTTTGAAAAAAAAAAAGAAAAAAGTAGTGTGGCTTTCTTTTTTCCCTAGCATCTTCGAATGCCTGTGAAGTAATTGAAATCATGATGTTGCACCCGAAGTTGCTTTAGCCATGAATCGGCCACGCTCAAAAGTGACAAAAGCCTCTCTTGGTCCCTTCCACAATTGCCTGACACCCACACATTTCCTTGCATCTTGTAAGTGGCCAAACCAAATGGAGGCAAAGAGATGCCGTCCCCTTCCTTTCTCTTCCTCTCCACATTGTCAATGTCGTCTTCAATGTCCATGTCTGTTTCAGAATATAAAATTATTAGAGCGCGCACACACACACACACACATTATATATTAACGTGTTGTGCTATTCCAAAATATCACTTTGATATCTTGTATTTTACGGCATCTTAATGTTATTAAAAACACCATTTTTAATATCTTAAAGACCCTTTTTTAGGGACATAAATTTCTAAATTACCAATCTCATCAGTTCATAAAATTTAAAAATTTTAAAATATTTATGAAAGTATTTGAAATCATTTAAAAATTAGGAAAGAAAAAAGAGAATCAAACTGTTAAAAAAATAAGAAAGGTAGTTTAAACATTTTTATGTCTTATAAAAATCTCAGAGACGTTAATGTTTCGCACAGGAAGGATGAGGGATAATAATTAGGGATAGAGACGGGATGCAGACAAAATCTTGTCCCCGAATTGTAATGGGGCAGGGACAGGAGAAAAACTCCATGTTCCGCCTCTGTTTCGATATATTTATATAAATATATGATAAAAAAAATCTACATAATTTTAACCTTTTAAATATTCTTAGTCCTTTTTAGGATTTATTATTGAGATTTGATGTGCATACGTTTAGAATTTGATATTCAATTTAATTTCATAGTGAATTTTTACAATGCATTGTTATATTAGATGGGGAGTGGGGAATGACAAGATTAAGGTTCCTGAATCCTAACCCATTCACTCCTTAACTGAGGATAGGGGCGGGGATGAGGACGACGAGAAATCATCCTCTCACCCCACCCTATATCCATCCTTACTCAAGGTATTAAAGTGGCTTTTTTTTTTTAAAAGTCAAATACCTTTTTAATCTAACAAAAAAACATATGGAATCAAAATGATTTTTTTTTAAAAAATAAATAAAATGATTTTTTAGAGTAACAAAAAAGTACCAAAATGATTTTCTCACTATAAAAAGTTAAAAATGAAACTAATAAACTATTTTATATAATAATAATAAAACAAATAGTACCTTGGAAAGAAGATGAAAGAGTATGATAAGTGAGGAAGCAAGTTGACAAGTCCTTTATGGTCCTGCCCATTGGGATGTGATATATTGGGTACCTGAATGTACATGTAATCCAAGAGTGAATATATAATTAATCCTCGTTTGCTTTATGATATGTGATCATGCACGTGCTATTATATGGTCCATTTTTTAATTTGTTAAATGAGCAATAATCAGTGCTCAAAAAGAAAAATATAGATATAATATATATGCGAGGCATGGTCAAGAAATATTATTATTTTCATGTTTTTATTAATGTCAAGTGTCTAAACATATGTAAGTAATTATGAATTCATATGGAGAGAGAGAGATATAGAGAGAGAGAGAGAGAGATAGAAGGATAGAGAGAGAGAGAGATAGATAGAGAGAGAGAGAGAGAGAGAGACCATGCAACTGCCATCCAGCTAGCTGGTGAGAGATCAACACTCCTGAGTGACAACAAGCCAGGGTATCTTTGAGCCAATGCATTGATCTGAAATGAAAGCAAAAGAACCAAATATGTAATATCAATTATGGAATCCACACTTTAATTAGCATTTTCTGAGTCACACAAAACAACTTCGAATATGATGATAGAAGCTGATTTTGGGATGCTTTAATCACAATATTTTCTTCACGGAAACAACAGTGAAAAGAGAGTCAAAAAGACAAAAAATAATAAAGACGAGAATATATGTTCAATGACCAATAATAATTACCCTCTCCAAAAATAACAATATGAAAATGCATAATAATTACCCGTACGATTTTATTGTCTACCTCTATTGCTGATAGTTTTTGTTTTCCAAATTCTATATTAGAATTTAATTAAATTTTTTTTAGTATTTTTTTAAAGTTTGTAGTAAAATTCTTCAATAAGAATAAAATAAGTATGCAGAAAAAAAAAAAAAAAGACAAGGGATTATTGAAAAAGTCAAAAAAGATGAATTCTTTGATTATATCTTTAAAAGATGCCTGGCAGGAAAAAGTGTGCACTGATTCTAACAAATCCCATATGTCCTTTCATGCTTCTTGAGGCTTGATTTGTGGGGAAACTAAAACAGATAAACCAAGCCAGATTATTCCACTCGCTAATCAACCAAAACAACATTTTCTTTTCTTTTAAAGAAAAAAAAAAAGATACGTAGATTATAGATATTAGAAATCTACTAGTTAGGCTTTGGTGAAGAGGAATATTACCTTATCCATTAGAGGGACTCTTCCATAAGGAGTTGATCTCTCAAAGTACTGAAAGTAAAGAAAACCCAATCTGTCGTTTGGATGCAAAACGTTATTATTGTTATTGTTGTTGTTTTTGTTGTTATTGTCTTGCTCAAACCCTCCTTCTTCCGAGGAACAACCGTCCCATCTCCATAACTTATCGCTCTCGCTGTCATCGCTTAGTGAATCACTGTACGAATCCCTCGTCTCACACTCACCAGAATCTGCCTCGTCTCTGACCACACAAAAAGAAAACGTTTAAATTTAATTAGGCCCCGTTTTTAAAAACGAATTCGAGTTGAAAACTTAAATAAAAAATAAATGTTTTTTTTTTTTTTTTGAGAAAACGCTAAAGAAAAAAGTTAAATTGTGATTCAAAGACCTGAAGCTGTTAATGGAGGAATTGCTGGTGAAAATCTGAATGGCGGAGAGGTAAGGGACGTAGTACTGAACAAGGGTTTCGCCGTGGTCGAGGGAAATGGGGACGCCGGCTCCGTAGGCGCTGAGTTCGTCGTAGCAATTCCAGAGATCGCTGAGGGTGAAATACTCGACCTTTTCTCTCTCCCATGGGTGCCATAGACGATTAAGGTTCCGAATTTCGCTCTGCAAAATGACAAAAATAAAAAGGAGAGAGAATTGAGATTTTTAGAGAGAGAATTGTGAGAAACAGGGGAGGAAAAGAGAGAAGGAAAAGAGCAAACCTTGGGGAGGAATTGGGATTGAACGACCGGTGTTGTGCAATGGAGGAAGCAATCAAGGTTTGATTGCATTGACCCTTTGTCCAAAATCATGTTTAGAGAGAGAAAGAGGAGAGAGAAAGAGAGGGAGGAAGGGAGGGAAATTAAGTTTCTCTCACCAACCCCTGAAACAGAGGAAGGCGAAGAAAAGAAGACCGAAAAACAGAGGAAAAAAAGAAAGAGGATGTAGAGAGAGAGAGAGAGAGAGAGAGAAATAAGGGAAGAAAGAGAGAGATATTGACGGGATTTGATTTCCCTTTTAGATAGAAAGAGAGATGCGATGTGGGTTTTATTGCAAAGACTCCTATTTTTCGACGTTTGTACAGCAAATTTCACGGGCAGGCTTGAAAGAGAGAAGAAAAAAAAAGGGGGGGAAAAAAATCTTGCGTCTCGTTTCTTCTCTGTTTTTCGCTTCACAGAAAGTCTTCGTTGGCAAATGTTGTCCAAGTCCAAACAGAGAATTCTAGCTCCGACCAATGCTCCGAGAAAGAAACAAATTGTTTTCTTTTCTAGTTCTTTAAAATAAATTCACTAAACTTAAAGAAAACTCAATCCGTCCTTCTTCTCTCTGCTTTGTTCCGTTTTCAAGAAAAATAGGTGATCCAAAGTTTAAGTCTTGAAGCTAAATCAAGCCCACCAATCAAGCCAATTTTTCCGACGGAAAAAAAAAAAGAAAGAAAGAAAGAAAGAGAAAATGGGGAGGAAAGAAGTGTCTTTTCCCTGTTTCGAAAGAGATAATTCTAGATTCTGTAATTGATTGATTTGATGGAAAATTTCAGCTTCGGAATCGAGAAAAACCAGAGATAAAACAAACGGAGAGAAAAAGAGAGAAGAAAAATCAGAATTCTCCAATTGAAAAGAAAAGGGAAACAGAGAGTTTTCGATTCTTGAAAGAACAACCAGTAGTGACCGTAAAGGGGGAAAGCTAGAGAGAGAAACTGCGTGTGATGCGAGGAAAAGAGAGAGAGCGAGGGATTTTGGAAAAAATTATAATCGAGGGATCAGAATACCAGATTTATCATCTATTGGACTCATCCGTCTCTATCAAGGTCTTGCCTTTGAAGCACAAAGCACAATTTCTTTTTTCTCCTATTGTGTTTCTTCCTATTCATTCATCGTTTTCAGTTTTAATAACCACATTTATAATAATCGACAAAATTAGTTGGAATCGGTCCAAATCGTTCAAGTCTTTCTAAAGAAATCAGATTATGATGCAAATGAAATTTCCAAAAAAAAAAAAAAAATAGAGGTGTGGACAAATTTCATTTCTTTTTATTGTAAGGAAGGAAAAGAAAATGTAAATAAGTTTACTTGACAAAATAAATTCGTATCTTTGGAGAATTTTTCTTTATATCGTAGTGATGCACTAAAAAGCAACTTACGAACCTTTCGGGCATCCCAAATCACTAGTTGAATATGATAGGACAAGATAGTATATAAAATTCTATACTCAAATTACGGGTAAAAAGAATTATACTTTTGCTTTCGTTTATAGTAACTAATTATTAAGAAAAAGGCTAATAAGATGCTTAACATTTGAACTTTTAATTGGCAATCTCATCTATCATTACTATATATATTTCCTGGCTTGAACTTAAAAGTAAATGACAAAATATAAAAAAGTGGCAATTCCATTTTTAAATCATTGATTTTTTTCCTTTAAGAAATGTGATTTTATTCTCCATATATCTAACAAGTAAAAAGGAAGTATATTGATAAGAAGCCATCTAATTTGGAACTTTCTCAAGTATGAATACCAGCATTTCTCATTCTCTTCCTAAACTCTTACCTCGTTCGTTCGCGGATCTGAGTTTTCAATTCGAGTTGATATGTAATATTTTTTAAATATTTTTAATTATAATAAAAAAGTTAGATGTAACATTTTCTAAGAATTTTTAACTGTAAAAATTTATACCTTAAACTCTTCATACTAAGATTCTCAATTTAAAACCATTTACAAGTTGGTCCCAGACTAATAGATTATAGATTCATTGCGTTTGCTAGTCCTTTCATTTGTCCAGTCGCTAAATCTGAAGATGCAAAAAGTCTAAGAGGAAAGATTGATATCTTAGGACAATTTTTTTTGGTAACGGAAGCTTTTTTTTATCCTACCGGTACGAATTGTTTTTTAATTGTTATGTTAATATTTCAACGGTTAAATCTACAATTGAAAACAATTTTGCATAGTTATTTTAAATTTTTATCATAGTTAAAAAATTAATTTAATAGTTAAAATAACATTATTTAACTGTAGGAAAAAAAAGTATTTCTCACTATAAAATTGCTTCATCTTAAACAGTAGTAAGCACACAAAACAAAAATGGATTGAATATGATGCATTGCCCCAAATGAAAAATCAGTCATAGACCAATAAATCAAATTTACTTTAAAAATGAATATTACATTCATTTGTAGGCTTATCATTTTTTTTTTAATTTTTCCTGAATTCCATTCATTTGCAGTTGACTATCATAGATACGGGTTACAACTTTGACGACAAAATAACATAAATAGTCATCCGTTACTAGACTGCGCGCTATGCCCATAATTATTGAATATGCAGTCCAAAAGCTGCAAAAGCTAAGATGTCCATGCGTACTTCTAAAAGTGTCCTAAAATGATCCAAAATATTACCATAGTAGTGTACTGTTGATCCATGTCCACGTACAAGTCTACAAAGCATTTGTAGAACACATACGAAATTTAATGGCCGTTTGATTCGTTAATTTAAGTTTTTAATTTGAGTTAAAATGTGATGTTGTGTGAAAATTTTTTATTGTAATAAAAAAGTTAAATGTAATTATTTTTAAAAATTTTTTACTGTAGTAAAACTCGAATCAACGAAATAAACGAGGTCTAAATTTGTGACGCTAAAACAAGTGTGTAAATATTCGCCCCGCAATAGATGATCATTCTTAAACATCATGTTTAGACCGCTTACCATAGGATGAATGTCAAAGGATGGCTTACAAATATTCAATTGCCTTAATTATTCTAGTTTAAAACACAGTTTCTATTGGTCAAACAAAATAGCATTCTCTTCTGTAAATTCAATTAAAAAAAATTAAAAAAAATTAAAAAAAAATGAAAATTTGTGTGCTTATTATTGATCAAGATATCAATCTCTTCTAATTTACTTTTTTGCAATTCGAGTCCAAAACTTTGTCCATAAGGGGATTTTACAATTGGACAAACGTAAGGGCTAATAAACTCTAACTTATTCATAGATTTAAATAGAAATTTAAATTCTTATAAGAGAAAAATATTATAGTAAAAAATTTTGAATTGCACTTCAAACCTATCAAACAAATTATGAAGGAGTCTTGTTAGTTTTGGGACCCAAAGAGAGGAAGCGGTTTATTTTGAGTTGATATTTATTTTCTGTTTTTCGTAGCGTTGGGGACAAAAGGAAAGGAAAAGCTTGACATTTGCTAAACAGCGTGAACGTCAAAGTGGGAACATTTTGTTGCAATATGCGTGCTAATACGAGACGTGCTATTTACTAGGAAATAGACAACAATAATAAATAAATTTTATAGCTTTTTTATTTAAAAAAACAAAAAAAAAGAAGAAGAAGAAGGAAAAAAAAATGTTTGAAAAACTTGCTACGTAAGGTTTTGGATTTTTGGAATATTATGAGTGGTATTCGATAGTTCTCACATGAATCACATGTATATGAGTTATGGTGCCGAATAACATTTATTGTTTGTAATTTATTAATTGGATTAGTTCATTGTTCATTTTTTTTAATGATTACTCCCTGAAATTTACATGTTTAATTTACTCTTTGAATTAAAAATCGCGGCCATTAACCCTTTCAACTTCAAATTTCATTGCATTTATTGACGATCGCTTTTAATTACGTAGTTAGATTATGAATTAATTTTGACACCTTTTAATTACGTATATTAGATTGTGAATTAATTTTGACACGTGATTGGCACATGGCCACTTTTAGGGGTATTACGTAGTTAGATTATGAATTAATTTTGACACCTTTTAATTACGTATATCAGATTGTGAATTAATTTTGACACGTGATTGGCACATGGCCACTTTTAGGGGGCATTGGTTGTCATTTTTATACCAAAATGAACAAAAGTTTAGAAGAACACGCAAAATCAGAAATATTAAATGGATGAACGAGCCAAGGATGAATGTGGAGTCTTTATTGTCCTTACTCATTCTTCTTCTTGTTGTTATACGATTAAGTTGTTTACTAAGAAATTCATCCAGATTAAATGCCACTTCAAGATTTTTTCTAAAAAAATCCTCCTAGCAAAAGCTTAAATAGAGGGCCACGTGCAAATCACATGTCAAAATCCATTCATAATTTGAGAGACGTTATTAAAAGGACTCTCAGTATAGCAGATGGATTGATTGCCACGTTTTTTAATTTAGAGACTAAATTGCCAAACAAGTAAAATTCGTGGGGTATTTATTAAAAAGAAAAAAAAAAAAAAAAAAAAAATGGGGGGTTTTTTTAAAAAAAAAAAAAAAAAAAAAAAAAAAAAAAAAAAAAAAAAAAACCTTCGTCATTAGTGAGCTATTTCGTTCAAAGGGTTACGAAGGATTTGAATCATTATAGAGGGTTTGAACCACGAATGTGGTTGAGAACCCAAAATCATGGGTTTTAGAGAACTTAACCCCCTTTTTCTTTATATGAACTATATCCACTACACAGACTTTTCGATACATTAAGAGAAAAATCGCCTACCAAAAGACTTTTTTTCGATCTCAATTCTCTAACGAATATCTCTGTCCCAGTAGATAAGTTCTCATGGGTTTGGCTATAATATTTCAAGTTTAAAACCGTAACTCTATTTCTAATTTATTCATAATTCTCACAAACTAAACACCAACTCAAACTTTTATTCTCTAATATGATGTTAAATTTTCAATTTAAACTTTACACTTTTAGAGTATGTTTGGTAGGAAAGAAAAGTAGAAGGAGGGAAGAAGGTGGAGGAATTTTGGGAGGGAAAATGAAAATGTAGGTTGTTTGGTAGGAGAGAAAAGAGAAAGGAAGAGAAAATGAAGTGAAAAATAATACATGTGGGCCCCACTATTTTTTTTCTTTCTACAAGTGGGCAGAAAATGGGATGAAAAATAAGGACAACTTAATAAAGTGAGCAAAATTACTAAACTACCATTTTCTCCATCAACATCCAAGTAAAAAATTTAAGGGTATAAAAGTAATTTACGAGTAAGATTTTTTCTTTTCTTTCAATTTAACTTCTAATACCATATAAGTGAAGATAAACCCATGTTCTTTTCATCTTCTCATACTAAATAATATAAAAAAAAATTAATTTCTTTTCTATCCTATTTTCTTTCCTTCCTATCAAACATAGAATTAAACTCTAGTTTGAATTTCATAAAACTCGAATAAGTTCAAACTCAGAAGTTTAAAACCACACACTTTAAACCTATAAAGTGAACGGGGCTTAGATTTGTTAGCCAGGAAAAAACACGTGGTTTATCCAGTAAGGGATGGCCCACGATAGTTAAGATGAAAAGGACAAAAAAAGTAGCGACTTGGGCTCGATTCTAGAATTCCATTCCAATGTGGGGTCCCTTGATTTGACCAATAGTTGTGCAGGTTTGTGCAGGTGATAATACTTATAGTAACAAGTGGGCTGGAGATATCATATTCTTCCAAGACTATAAAAACAACATAGTTTTGCATCATATAAGAAACAAACATGGATTACATATATATCTTTACTCTTATTAAAGTTATTATGTAAATTAATCAAAATTATTATCGTGAATAGTGTTAAAATTTTCTTATAAATAGAATTTTAAAACTCTTTATTTTATATGCATTCACAAGATTAATAAAACTCTCTCTCTCTCAAATTTTTTTTCTTAATTTTATATTTTCTTAGCTTTTATAACATATGCTAATTTTTTTCATCAGTTCGTTGGAGCCAAAACTTGCAATTGTTTAGTAGAAATTTGGTGGATACGTCATTTTCATACATGTTTCATGCCTTACACGTTGCTTATTTGTTATCTACCTTGTTCTTATCTAAAAGCGAGTTAAACGGAAAAAAGAAAAAATCAAAGTTTACATTAATTAAGATAGGTTTAGGGATATTATATCGGATTTC